CTTCCTAACCCTTTTCTTTTGCTGTGATTTTGGGATTTTTTTTATTTTGCAAGGAGTGTGTGGTTGGGTTTGGGTGGCTTCGTTATTCTGCTCCTATTCTGGATCTACTTTGTCTGGGGATTGCCTCTGTGTTTCGGTGGCTTGAGTGGTTTCCCCTGTGGCCAGTTGGTTTATTGTTCCCATTGTTGTGTTGCCGGCGGGTTTTGCTCTGTGATTCTCCTTTATCTGTGATTTGGTGGCAAACGAGGTGACCAAGCGTGTTGTGCGATTCTCTTCAGTCTTTTGTGTTGCTTTTGCTTTCAACCCGTTTTGTGGTGTTGATCAATATTCTCTTCTAGTTTTTACTTGTAAGAGCCTCTAGTGCTTGATATGCATTTTCTCCTTTTATCACTGGAGGCTATTTCTCGGCACCTTCCCTTCACCATCATCTTCAGCGCCTCAACCACATGGGGGTCTCCTCTCCTTGGTGACTCGTATGCAGTTGGGGTTGCTTTTAAAGTGATTATGTCACTTATTGCTTGGATTATGGTATTGCTATTTGTAGCTTAGGTGGCTTGTCCACCACCATTTTCTGTCTTCAGCATTGGTTACTAGTTCTTCTCCGGTGGGTGTGAGCTTGTGTTGATTATGCTGCTGTTTAGTTATGGGTGGTGTGGCATTTCTATGTTCTGTATATCAGATTGAGGAAATCAACTCTAAGTTTCATATACACTTTGCAGCAATTAAATACACATAAGAACACTTGTTTGAAATCCTAAAAGATAAAGCAGTTTGAAACTGTCTCCTAACTCTAAGGAACAACTATTTGAATGAATGCAAACTAGAGTATGTTTGAGAATTGGAAAAGCAGGATGTCCTAAGCGATAGTGCCAGTCTAAGGACGTGGTCTTTGTTGCGGAGAAGGCAATCAAAGGGGAGGAGGTTGGCCACTCATATACACCATCTTTAGTGTGTCCCTTGAGCACTGTTACCCCGGTCTGAAGTTCCTTCACAAGAAAAGTGGATGGTAAGAACTCTATGGAAACATTGTTAGAAGTGCAAAATTGTGAAATAAAAATTAGGTTCTTTTTAATAGATGGAACACAGAGAACATTGTTTAATGTAAAGTTATGGTGGGGAGTTTTGAGAGAGGTGGAACCAGTGTGGGTGATGGCAAGATTAGAGCCATCTCCGATCATGATGTCATCAGTGCCTATGTAAGGAGCATGCAGGGAGAGGTTGCTGAGATCATACGTGACATGGTGTGATGCACCACTGTCCAGAAGCCAGGATGATGGGGTGGAAGGATGGGTGGCAATATGAGCTTGTGGTTGCCATGGTGTGCCTTGTTGGGAAGAGCTGGAGGATGGGGGAGTATGAACTGGAATGAGCTGAAATGAAGGACACCGTTTGGCAGTGTGACCCTGAGTCCTGCAAATTTGGCAATAGCCAAGGTATGGCCTGGGAGGAGGACGAGTGCCCTGTGATGGATTTGGAGTTGCAGCAGGTGAGCGGTTGGTGAAGTTGAGGGATGGGCACCAGTTGGTTGTGGTATTGCCTTGTGGTGGAGAAGGGCACCAGTTGGTGGTGGTATTGCCTTGTGGTAGAGAAGGACGCCAGTTTTTGGTGTTGGTTTTGGATGTTGGGTTTGAGTAGCTGGAAAATGGTGTGGCTCATGTGGGATGCTTTGAAGGGAGGCTTCAAAATTGAGGAGTTTTTCGTGAAGTTCTTCAAAGGTGATAGAGGTGTCTTTTGCTTGGACGGCGCGGACTAACTCTTTGTACTCATCACCGAGGCCATCGAGGATTTTGTATGTGATTTCTTCTTTATCAAGGGGGGCCAATAAGAGCAAGATCATCGGCTCGAGTTTTGATGGATTGCATAAACTCAGTGATGCTAAGGGAGCCTTTGGTGGTGTTTTTGAGTTGGTGTTTGATTTGTTTGATGCGGCCACGAGAGGGTTTAGCATATGTGTTGGCTAGAATTGTCCAGGCTTGTTTAGAGGTTTGGGCTTGAGCTATGAAGGAGATAATGGTGGGTGAAAGGGAGCCAATAATGGCGTTGAGAATCAGTTGGTCCTGTCGGATCCATAAACTGTAACTGGGATTGGGTGTGGTGGTATTTTCTTGGGTCAAGGTGGCTGGCGGGCATGGTTTGGACCCATCAATATAGCCAAGAAGATCATAGCCAATGAAGAGGGATTGGAATTGTAATTTCCAAGAGAGGTAATTGGTAGAGGAGAGTTTGAGAGGAGCTTGAGCAGCAACGTTGATGCTGATGAGAGTTTGATGTGGTGCATTGGTGTTTAGGATGGTTGCAGGGTCAGACTCTCTAGCCATGAGTGCTGAAGAACAGGGGAAACGATGAGAAAATGAGAAATGGATCGGCTTAGACTACTGATACCATATCAGATTGAGGAAATCAACTCTAAGTTTCATATACACTTTGCAGTAATTAAATACACATAAGAACACTTGTTTGAAATCCTAAAAGATAAAGCAGTTTGAAACTGTCTCCTAACTCTAAGGAACAACTATTTGAATGAATGCAAACTAGAGAAACTAACGGGCTAAGATTATCTGTACAATGAATTCAAAATAAGAAACTAACAGACTGGTACAAGTTGTTACAATCCTGTGATACTGTATTCACTGCCTTTTGTGTGCCCTTTGCTTTTTCTGGGCTTTATGCGCTCTTCAAGTTTTATGATGTATAGGTTTTATGCCTTCTTGTGTTGTCGTTCGTTGAATTCCTTTGTGAAGCTCACTTTGTTGTAACCGGCTTTTGCCTTCTATCTAATAAAATTTGATTCTAACAAAAAAATAAGAAACATATTATTTCAACTTGACTTTATTTGTTAACTATTGTAAGTAATGTGAAGAATTTTTGGTTTCATGATGTCAAGATTTAAAGTTCATAGTAAACTTATCAATTAACTTATAGCTCAGCATTACTTCTCTTTCTAATGTTGAAAGATACTAAATTCGAATCCCTTCCTTTCTCAATTTTTTTGGTTTTCCAAAAGTTCATAATGAACTGTAACAAAATTGCCGTGTAAAAGAAGAAAAATAAAAATAAACAATTCACTAGTATAATGATTTAAAGCAATTACCACTTTCATAATCTCAAGACTGTGGTATTGATTTGACATGTTGACGACAACCCTGCACTTCACAGGCTCCATGGTTTCTCCTTCTCCGCACAAAATGAAAATCGGGTGGACAGCTCACGATTTCAACTACCATACCAGGGCAATGGTGGGCTTCTATTATTATCTGGAGTAAACAATGAATCTAGCGGACGATGTGCTTTGAAATTGGCCACATGTGCTTTTGTGCCTAAGCCTTATCATAAATATCTATACACGATCACTTTCGTCAAATTTATGTGCAAAATATCTTCTGTCGCAAATGGAATTTTATTGTCCTCGTGATTCATATTTCATCTTTTTGAATTAAAAAAAAAAGAAAAAAAAGGCACATTTCTAAAGTCCAAACAAGCATATTTTTTTCACCTCCAGAAAGTTTCAAAATAGTCGTGCAAGCAACTCGTGCTCTACAGGAGACACGCTCTAATGGGTTTATTATTGCAGGGTCCCAAATCCTTCTCTAGAGAAATACAAAATAACACAAAAAAGTTTTTTAGGTTTTAGACATAAAAAAAATTTCACTTTTGGAAAAAGCCAAAGCTTTTTCAAAAAAGACAAAAAAACCACTCAACTTTCAAATCAAAGACATGCAAATGTATTGGATTCCTTAGGAAATATAAAAATAAATAAGGGCATTTTTGTCCATTTTTGCTTCTTTTAAAATTTTTCTCTCTCCTTTTGCTTTTTCCAAAATGTCCCATAACAAAAATGGCTTTGGGATTTAATCATTGGCGGTGCGTTGCGTTGATAATAATGGTTGGCATAAAAACGGAACAAAAAACAAAAGCACTCCAAGAAAGAAACTTCCGCAGTCCACACCATTTTTTATCTCTCCTTTTATAATCCGCTGAGCTGACTTCTCAATTCGTTCAGCAAAATCCCATCTTTATCAAATTGCCTTTTATTTCCAACGCCATCCGCCCGTATTCATAAAACATTTCTTAGGCTCCAGATTTTTGTTCAACATCATCTCCAAGTCTATATTCATTCTCGCATTTCATCCAACACATGAGAAGCAACCCATGACGCACAGCATCAAGTACTGGCTATCGGAGCATCCAACAATCGTAAACTTCCGATGGAGCACCACCCAATCATGGGGCTCCACGTGGTCCTTCCTCTTCACCGCCATCCCCGCCTACATCGCCGTCGCCACCACCCTCCACCTCATCCTCACAGTCTTCCGCCGCCGACGCCCCGTCCCACTCGGCATAATCCCAGCCGTGCATAGCCTCGGCATGGCCCTAATCTCCGCCGTCATCTTCGCGGGCATCCTGGTCTCCGCCTCTGCCGAGATTCGCGACACCCGCTGGTTATGGCGGCGCACCAAGACCACCCCATTCCAGTGGTTCCTCTGCTTCCCGCTCGGGACCCGCCCTTCGGGTCGCGTCTTCTTCTGGTCCTACGTCTTCTACCTCTCTCGGTTCCTCCACCTGTTCCGCACGTTCTTCACCGTCCTCGGCCGCCGTAGGCTGACCTTCTTCCACCTCTTCAACCAGTCGATCCTCATCTTCATGTCGTTCCTCTGGCTCGAGTTCTCTCAGTCGTTTCAGGTCCTGGCCATACTCTCCACCACTCTGCTTTACTCAGTGGTCTACGGGTACCGGTTCTGGATCGCAATCGGGTTACCCGGCGCCTGTTTCCCGTTCGTGGTGAATTGCCAGGTGGTGTTGCTCGGCTGCAACTTGGTTTGCCATGTTGGGGTGCTTTCGCTGCACATTTTGAAAGGCGGGTGCAATGGGATGGGAGCTTGGGTCTGCAATTCGGTGCTCAACGGCGCCATTCTTTTGCTCTTCTTGAAGTTCTACGTGAAGATGTATTTGACAAATTCAAATGTGGCGAAAGTGGAGAGTTTGGGCACGCATTTGGGTTCTGGTTCGGAGTCAAACCCTAAGCATGAACGGGAGGTTGTCATTGTTAAGGAAAAACGTAGTTAATTTGTTAGTCAATCCTTTGAGATTTGTTAGTCAAACCCTAAGCATGAACGCATTTGGGTTCTGGTTCGGACGTCCTGCCTTTGAGATTTTATTTACATATTTTGTTTGTATTTTATCAAACAAAATATATTAGGTGGAAATGAGATTCTTTGTGAATATGATATAATATGTACATGTAACATGTGTATATTATATATATATATATCTTTTTCCCTCAATAAAAGTAAATGTTCAAAGAAGAAGACTCTATTCTTGGATTCTTGTAAGTTCCATTTGAATAGTCAATGGAATGAAGTGAGGGAGGAGGAGGAGGAGGAGGAGGAAGGTGCCGCTTGAGAACCAAACTTAGAATTATACGAATTTGGTACTTTGTCCATTCTGCAAGAAAAGTTCTACTGTTGAGTTTTGGATTGACCAATGACCGACGACATGCCGTCACTGATATGATATTCTGGTCATTAAAACTAATATGGTAAATCAAAACGTGACATCCTGTTAAGAGAAAGGGAAAGGATGCAAAAATAATGTTATCATAATGTCGGGCACAATTTTGGTGAAATAATTGGGGCCAAAAGAAAGGAGGACAAACAGAAACACACCTGTCCCAAAACAAAAGTGTTCTAGGTCCACCAACTTCAATAACAACCGCCCAACACAAAGAGGACGATAAGAGAGAGAAGAAACCCAGATTAATAGTAGAATAGAAAATCCCCAGATACACAACTCCCTCGCGCTTAATCCACCAAACTTTTGGGCAAATGTATAGGAGATATCGTTAACTCGTACCTTGATTACCTCTATCAATCTTCATCAACATCGTCATGCATTTATCGCCTCCATTGGCTACTTGATGTTCTCCTTCATTGCCATGATTATATTTTTCCCATTTTAAGTGGCATGTATTTAAGTGGCATGTATTTGTATAAATTTAGCATGTTTACTTATAAGGAATGAGTATTAAATGATTCTAATTCCTGATTTTTGATGTGTTTCGTCATTCGTTAGGGAGGGGGAGATGAGAGTATTATATTTGGTTGCCTCAAGATTGTCTTATACATAAATTGAACCCAAATGCACTTTGGGGAATGTGAGAGTTTGACCCACTTTTTCACTGTGGTTCTAGTGCCACCTTATGTGCTGATTTCTGATGTGTTTACTAACACATAAGGACTAAAAAAATTACATAGTTCCACCTTCAAATCCTAATTAACTAGGGGAAGTAGTTGATTCTGCTATATAAGTTTTTCGATTCATAGCTTCTCTCATTCTTGGTAAATAAACTTTAATAACTAGCATTGTATAAAAATAGGGCAATGATTTCCCCACTCCTATTTTATCCACTTACACTTCTTTTTTAGTTATAAAAAGGAGTGTAAGTGGATAAAATAGGAGAAAAAGGAGTGGAGAAATCACCACTCTAAAAATATACAAACTTGTATTTGGGAGCTTACTATATGTTTTTGCCAAATATTTTAATGGCTTGGACATTATTAATTCTTTGTTTGGTCTCAAATTTGAACCATCTCGTCTCGCCATTGATTAAAAACAATTACATATTATTTAATACTGTAATTGTAATATAAAATTCATTTGAAGATAAGTTTCTTTGGTAATTGCCTCAACCATCTTAAGCCGATCCAAGTGTAGTTTAGGCCACGATGGGCTTTCCAATTTAATCCACCAGGCTGTTTAACTCAGCCAGCGATGCGGCCCACTTACCCGTCAATCTTCCGTCACACTCCGTTCACCAACATCAACACTCCAGAATTGGAGTAGAAGTAGTGCAAACTAAGATTGGTTTATTTATCTATTTAATTATTATTAGTTTTAATAATATAATGATTAGAGGTGTAACCCAACCTAATTATATCCAACAAATTTTAAGAGTGCTTTTTTGTTTTGGCAACAACAGCTAGCTTTTATTAGGTTTGACTCGTTCTCTAGAACAAATAGTGAATGAATGTCATGTCTGTGCTGCACTTGTTTGCCGTGATAATACTTCCATATTCGCACTTTTGCTCAGCGTTGCCTATTTATGATAATTTTTGCATTGGCTATATATGAAGGAATGCAATCCAATATTTATAAATGGCTTTTTATTATTTTTGGCAATCATTTTTTTGTGCACATGAAGGCACCAATCTCTTGTATATAAATCCCTTATTAATATTATTTTTTGCATTTATTCGAAACGCTGATCTTTTATTGCCTTCTACCCAACAACAACAACACAAACGTACTCTTCGTTCTCGGAGCAAAAACTTCTCTCTAAATCTACGTTGGCATGAGGTAACAACATTGTTTTGTTGTCTGCAGATTTAAGGTTACGGTTGTTGTCGTTCTTGTTGCAATTGCGTCTCTGGAAATCGTCTTTACGTTTGTCGTATTTTTTTTTTTCCTTCGTGATTATATGATTGAAATTGAAACATCAAAATGTCAGGGAGGCATCTGATCTACCTCCCTGGATAACCAGAATGGCATCGATGTCTCAAAAGGAAAACCAACATTCTTGATCACGTCAATCATAATTCGTTCATGTGCAAATGTGGGGTTAGGCCAATTGGCGGAAGCAGTGTGCCCTTCCTATTGCACCCGAGTTCGAAACCTCTCCACGACTAGTTTAGAATATCTCATAATTCGTTCATGTACATGTTTATTATTGTGTTTCTTTTTTCATGTTTATTTAAGGGAAATGAGAAGTAAATTCTTTTTCTTAAAGACATATTTTGGTAATATTGCAGCTGCATTGAGTCAGGTTTTTCCTGGAACGAGATGGATGTTTGCAGTCCCTTGAAACCTGATAGTAAACTGAAGCACAGGCCCTTAACTCCACTTAGAGTTGTGAGGGGTGTGATATGTTTGGTAGTGTTTCTTTCTACTGCTTTCATGATTCTTGTGTGCTTTGCGCCTATCATTGCTGTAATTTTGCGCCTGTTGAGCATACGTTGCAGCAGAAAAGCAATATCCCTCCTCTTTGGTATTTGGCTGGCCTTGTGGCCCTTCCTATTTGAAAAGATCAATGGGACCAAAGTGGTTTTTACTGGTGACACCGTGCCCCCGAAAGAACGCACTCTGCTCATTGCCAATCATAAAACTGAGGTTGATTGGATGTACTTGTGGGATCTTGCATTGCGAAAAGGGTCCCTCGGCCACATCAAATATGTCCTCAAGAGCAGCCTCATGAAGCTGCCTGTCTTCGGTTGGGGCTTTCATGTTTTGGAGTTTATCCCTTTGAAGAGGAAGTGGGAAGTTGATGAACCGGTTATGCGCAAATTGCTTTCGTCCTTTGCTGATCCTGCAGACCCTCTGTGGCTGGCCATTTTTCCTGAAGGAACTGATTATAAGTACTGCTTATTACCCCCCCTCTGCCTTTCTTATCAATCTATGTCCATGTATTTTCAGATTATTATATTGAATTTATCATATTCAAGATTATTTGATCTCCATTGCTTCTATTTCTAACTTCAGCAAAAGAAAATCCATATTGTTTGAACTTAGACTGTTAGTTTCACAGTTTTGACAGTTGACAATGAGTTTGAGAATCCTTTCTCATGTCTATGTTCTGCAATGAGATTTTTTTAGAATCCTATTCCCTGAAACCCACAGTATTGCCTAATTTTGCTGCACTCCTCCGCACTGAGTTACCTTTGGACCCCATTTCTACATTCACCAGTCACCTTTCGAACATTGGTTTCATCTCATACTGTCATAAGGCATATTTCCAACTTGCAAGTTTTTATGGTGCATTCAAAATATTCTTCGTTATTCATTTTAAGAGATTAATGTATGTAGATATTTAGTTGTTTTGTTTTTTACCCCCTTGTTTTGTATACAGTGAAGAAAAATGCAAAAAGAGTCAGATATTTGCGGCTGAAACTGGACTTCCTGTACTGTCACATGTCCTGCTTCCAAGAACGAAAGGTTTTTGTGCTTGCTTGGAAGCTCTAAGAAGTTCTTTGGATGCAGGTTATTTACACAAGACTTCCACTCTCTTATTGGTATTCTGGAAATTATGTGTTTGTAACCCCGTTCTCTCTCTCTCTCTCCAATTTATCTTGTCTAACATTCCATTCCTGTTATATTTATATGCGCCTTCATATTCCAAATTGTGGTGCAGTTTATGACTTGACAATCGCATACAAGAATCAATGCCCTTCATTTATGGACAATGCGTTTGGCGTGGATCCTTCAGAAGTTCACATTCATGTTCGCCGTATCCCTATCGAAGACATCCCAGAGTCTATCGCGGATGCAGCTTCTTGGTTAACGGACACATTCCAGCTCAAGGACAACTTACTCTCTGATTTCAATACTCGAGGCCATTTCCCTAGTGAAGGAGGAGGAGGAGGAGGAGGAGGCGAAGAGGAACTGTCCACATTGAAGTGCTTGGTAAATTTTGTGTTGGTAGTTGTTTTGACTGTCGTGCTCATTTACCTTACCATTTTTTCAACCGTCTGGTTTAAAATATACGTCGGTTTATCATGTGCATACCTTGCTACAGCTACTTATTTTGAAATCCAACCGATGCCAATTTTAGACTTTGTTAAAGCAACTTGTGTTTGCAATAGACCAAGAATTGAATAGAAAAACAGCACATTTTTGAAGTGTTTTGCGAATGTTTCATTCTTCCTATATTTGTTGCACCTGTGTATTTGCCACCAAATTGAAACAGAGCTTCAAATTGAGCTCTTTTAGCTGTCAATGGTTATGGCTTGAAGCTTCATTTGCAGCCCATAATTAACCCTAGCAGCAGCATCACATTTTCACTTTACAGAAGAAGACTTCTAATAACTAGTCTTCAGTGACAAATTTTCAAACGTCTCACCTTGAATCTTATGTTGCTGTAATGAGGTTCAAAGTGTGATCTGTCATGAGACAAACTGTAAACAAGGAGATCATATCAACAGAAAATCAAACAAATGAAAGGTTGGGGGTGGGTTCTGATCAACTTTATGCAAAAGACAATGCAGGTGTCAACTAGTAGTCGTAGAGATTAATTGAGTGAAGCAAAGGGTAGGAATCTTGTCAACCTTTTTGTGGAAGCAGCTTTCTTCGTCTTTCTAACTTTTTGGTGGATTTGTACTTGTATACATATACATACAGAACACAAATTATGTCAAGAAATAAATAGGGATGCAAATTGGAACCATCCTGACTTTAACAACCAGACATGTGAAGCCAAGACTTTAATTGGTATTGGGTGGAGCACGCTAGTCCTCGAATGTCACACTATCCAATTCATTCCAAGGCACCAAACATAAATAAATACAAGATTAAAGCGACGGAGCTACTTTCCATATTTCATTTTCAAAAGCAACATATCTATTTGAAGTTTAGACATGTAACGGGGCCTGCTTGATTGTTGTTAGTTTGTCAAGATTATTGCTGGTAGGTAGCTTAACGCTGTAGGAAAAGCTGGTTTAATTGGCCCGTTTGAGTCCTTCTTACCTCTCTTTCCTTTTTTACGCACATGATCTCATTAGCATTATTCAAAAGGAAAAGGAAAAAAAAAAGATCCATTCCGAAAGGCCAACCAACCATTCCTTTTGTGCTGCCGAATAAGATATGTGAGAGAAACAAGAAATAAGTTACTGTTAACATGGTTTGATTAACTTTGTATAAGAAACATTGGCTTGGAAAAGAAAGGACATGAAACACTACAAACATTCATTCAAAGGAAAATTAATTACAAGGGAAAGACTGTGTTTATTTAAGCAAATCACCACGCCAAAATGTGTAAAAAGATTGTGGCATTTTATTATGATACTAACAAGCTTAAGAGCATCCACAGTGGGAGGTGTATTTTTGGGGGTGTAAAACCATTTTTACATCCCCTTTACACATCCGGAGGGTGTAAATATGTTTTTTGCTCCAATGAGAAACGATGTAAATCTAAAGATGTATAATTGATTTGTTTGTCTTAATTCGTTTTTGTGCTAAATTTGTATTTTGTGTTTACTTTATCAAATAAATTTTTTTTGTACTAGGTTAATTTTATTTTTTCAAACAAATAGACTTAAAAATATTTATATTCGGAGAAGATATGATTTCATCCAAAAATCCCCAAAATTACTCCACATGTGAATTTTTTTCCAGTAATTACTGTAGCAGCGGGTCTCACTCTTTTATGATGACTTTTCTTCACTTTTTCTCTTCTTTTTTCGGGTTGGTCCCACGTACAAGAGATGTAAAAATAAATGTAAATATACATTTTATTTTACATCCTCATGGTGATGATGTATATTTACATCTATTTACATCTCTCCATTAGAAACGATTCCAGTAATTCAGAATGTATATTTAACATACACTGTGAGTGCTCTAGGAATGTGTCAGAGTCAACAGAGGGACTGAGAGTGGGAGTGGGAGGTCGTGCGATTGATGATGTTTGCCACGTTGCTGTTTTATGTGATGTGATCTTGTCGAGGGACCATCCTTGTCACGTGACTCGATGCTCCAACCTACCTGCCACATCACGTGCCACACCAATATTTTATCATCCCTTCCCCAAATTAACAAGAAAAAGTAAATTACGCAATGCTTTCCCCCACAGTAATTAATCGATGATACGATTACACATAGTAAGATGAGGTAAAGTTGCACACTCAGCTCAGAAATAAATCTACACCCTCGATCAACCAAATCCAACCACAAAACACAAACCCTCATAAAACTGGAAAGGAAGTGGTGCCCGTCTTTAACTTGGTGACGTGGCGGCCACCCATTGCTGCATTCCGCAAATACAGAAAATGCTTGCGCGCACCGGAAAATACCCCCAGTATCTTATACTGGTCACGGAAAGAGAGGAACGAAATTATAATGCCAAAATTTCAGCCCTAGCAAATATAAATACCAATTGCCAAGCAAAAGCTGTGAGCATCAAAAATCAAATTAAGTTTATAACTTCCGCACCCAGTCTTGGCTTGTTTTCCAGTTATGGCCATGTTCACCTCCAAGCTTAAGCTCTCTCTTCTTCTTTTTCTCTTTTCATTAGGTACCGTACGTTCCTTATTGCCTCTTAATCAACTACTTACACTAATTATATTGATTAACGTAATCTGAACTTGTTTTGTTTGTTTTTGGGTTGATGTTATTACTCTTCTTGTTAATCCAGCTGCAGGCAATGTGGTCTACGCAACCGTTTTCACTCTCCAGAACCGTTGCACCTACACAGTCTGGCCCGGCACACTCTCCGGAAACGGCGCCGCAGTTCTCGGCGACGGCGGTTTCGCCTTGGCGCCGGATTCGTCCGTCCAGCTCACGGCCCCTCGGGGATGGTCCGGCAGGTTCTGGGCCCGAACCGGCTGCAACTTCGACGACTCGGGAAACGGCAAATGCCTCACCGGCGACTGCGGCTCGCTAAAATGCGTCGGGGGCGGTGCACCCCCAGTTACCTTGGCGGAGTTCACGATAGGGTCGACCCCGGGTGACAAGGATTTCTATGACGTCAGCTTGGTGGACGGTTACAATGTGGCCATGGGGCTGAGGGCAAACGGAGGAACCGGCGACTGCCAGTACGCAGGATGCGTGGCCGACTTGAATGGCAACTGCCCACCGGAGCTTCGGGTGACGGATTCGGGTAAGGTGGTGGCGTGCAGGAGCGCGTGCGCAGCGTTTAAAGCGCCGGAGTTTTGCTGCACCGGGGACCACGCGACGCCTCAGACCTGTTCCCCAACTCAGTACTCGGTGATGTTCAAGACTGCATGCCCCACAGCGTACAGTTACGCTTATGATGACGCTTCCAGCACTTGTACCTGTGCCGGGTCGGATTACTTGATTACGTTTTGCCCAACCGGGTCATCATAAGCTAGTTGAGTAGAGTAATTATCCATTACATTGGTATAAATTCTTAGATAGCGCATGGAATGGAAGGTCCTTATTGGTTATATTAATTAATTGATATGATTTATTGGTTTAAGATTATTATTATTATTATTAAGGTTTTGTTAATTAGCAGTTGGATTTGAAATAACAGATCGTTGTTGTTGTAACTTGTAATTAGTTTAATAGGTTCTGGCTGGATCGGATTGGTGAGTGAATTAATTAACAAATGGTTAATTTAATATGAGAATAATAAGTTGGCTAATTGTGGTGGTCGCATCGCATGTCGCATGCATGAGATGGGAAGGCAATTCCTAGTTAATTTGGAAGAATCTTGGCACCTCCAGTCCTCCACCAACTAAACAAGCAATGGTAATGATGTTGATTGATAACCATAACCTGTTTATTTTATTTGCATATCCTAATCCTTGATTTGCTTATCTTAAATTCTTAATTGCAGAGCCTACGAAAACGCGTGGGTTTGAAATCTTTGCATGTCTTGTTTCTCACTTCCTTCTCCAACTATACCACGCAGTATAATTGTTATTCAAGTAATTAAAACGACGGTGTATTGACTAACTTTTCTTTGAAACTAACTAAAGACAACTCTAAAGATAAGACCATCTCCAACCATGTTGGGGTTAAACTCAAATTTTCACCCTTCAAAATACAACTATTCATGTATTTTCAGGACTCAAATTTTTTTTTCCTCCAACCTTGTAGACTCATAATTTGAGTCCGCAACTTTATTAAATTGTTTAAGAATGATTAACCCCTAAATTTTGTTTCTTGTTAATTTTTCTTGACATTATTTTTGTTTCAACACTCGTGATTTAATTTTCTAAACATTTTAACCTAAAAAAAATAAAATTCCAAAACATAATTGAATTTCACTTAAAAAATAAAAATAAGTACAATACCATACGTATGCCCGGAATAATTCGAACTCTTCATTGAATTATGTAAGTGTGTTTAAATTATCTAAGCATTTTTAAATAAACGACAATCATTAAATTTTGCCGTTGAGATTGCTAAACAAACCAGCAATATCAGATTTTTGGCACAAAGTTGCTGCCCAAACAGTGTAACCAAAACTGGGCCCAGCAAACATTGTGCAGCACATGGGCTTCAGTCAGAAAAATAAAAATAAAAAAAAGCAGATTTTGGGCCCATAAAATTATCAGTCTAGGCAAAAATGGGACTGGAATTCCACCCAAGATTTGAGATTTCTCAAATTTCCACCCCCCAAAATACATGGGTTGGAGATGGTTTTTGGAGGCTAAACTCAAAATTTGAGTTTCCACCCCAAGGGTTGGAGATGGTCTAAGAACACAATAAACCAAGAAATACAAGGCTTTTTTTTTCTCTTTCAAATTTCAAGGCCTTCGGCCTAACAAACAAAACAACCGTGCAAGCAACTTAACAAGACTCTTCCTCTTTTTTTTCCTTTTCTTTTTCTACTCACCTTGCATTTCCTGCATTTCCAATTTTCTCTACAAGCGGCTTTCATCTTTGAAAGCCACAACTCTCGCCTTCCGGCCCAACTTTTTTTTAATGATTATTGGGCCCTGCAGACGGAAAACCTACATCTAAGACAGCATTAAATGCCACCTTTTCCTAAAATGAAACCCTAAAAAATTACAAGAAAAAAACAAAAAATCAAAAGTAAATACTAAAGCTGCCTATTTTTTACAGACGTCCCTTTTGAGGAACTATTACTTGAAAACAAACTATATATGCTGCTAATCCATGATGTTTTCATCTCACTAGACCCGGTGCATTGACCTTCTGCTTCATCCTTACTACTGAACAGGGTTTGGTCCGAGCAATCCAGTGAAGCTCCGCATGCCGAATTATACGACTGACAAGCCGAATAGCATACGCGGAGCCTGTTGTCCCCGTCCTTGTCACACTTTTGAATTGAGATCTGGCATTACATGGTCATATTCTTAGTCAAAGCAGATAAACATAACAAATGTTTCTTGACAAAGGGAGAAGAAAAGGTTGTATTGTGGAGTGAGAGGAAACTTACCCAGCAAGCCAGCTGCTTCGCAGTCATATCACAGTAGCTGGTGCCAAAGATGCTAAAAAGTTTCCTAGCACCCCCAGGAAACAAACGATGGTAGTTGGGCATGACCACTACATCCTCTAGCTGCTGCAATATACTTGGTTCACTGGGTGCACAATGCTGACCAGCACCAGAGTTGACATTCTCCAGCACATCTTTACAAACTTTAAGACTAGATTGCAGCATGGTGCTGTTCTGGCAAGAGTAGCCTGCATAGTCAGAGCATCGGAATTCACAGACTCCATCATCACAGACACCTCCATGAAGGCTGCATTGCTCATCACAAACAGCTGCATGACATATACATGCAAGAGCAGCGTTGTCAGAGAACAGCAAATTGCATAATATTAGCAGCCATTGTACACAAGCCTTGACACGGTGTGTGGTATTAAACAGGGAAAAAAAGAGAGGAAAAAAACAAAAAGGCATTACCAGTGGAGCAGTCAATGCCTGTGTATCCATTTTCACATTCACAGAGCCCATTAGAAAGGCAATTTCCACGTCCACTACAGCTGCTTGGGCAGGTGCCTGCAAAGATCATAAATTCAAAACCTAACTTCGTATAATGTTGCATCTCGTGTGCTGATTATAAAGAAGGGCAAAGAGGAAATTAGGAGCGCACGTTTACTACAATCGGAACCATGAAACCCTAGAAAACAGTGGCACCTTCCTTCAACACAATCTCCATTGAAATTACATGATTTTGGACATTGCCCAGTCCCAGGAACTAGGCTTGTACTACAGAGTTCATGGTATGCCGGGCAAAGCAATTCACCTAAAAGAAGGAACATTTTTCAAATTTTAATCAATGTTGAAATACACATAACAAGATTAAGAAGAAAAAACAATCGATAGAACAGCATGATTACCATTAAATCCTGGGAACTGAAGTGGTCCACCAGCTTCAGGACATACTTTCCACATACCATCCACAGCAACCTGAAAATAAATAAACAATTAAAAAAGTGATAAAAGAAAGGATGAAGCATGTTCAAATTTAAAGATGCTGCTCATCAATTTATGGTTGATAAGTTCACCATGACACCCATGTGCACCTGATAAACTACAGCAGATGAAAAAGAAAGCGACCACTGAAATAGCATACCTCTAATGAATTATTAACACATCTGTGCTGATAGCATCCATTTCCTTGGGTCATAGAACCCCGTACAAACCCAGTACGTACCAAGGATGAAGCCATACACCTACGAGTGACAAAGAAGAATAATCATTAGCAAGATGTGGCTATTTTTAACTGCAACCAACATGTCCACGGGAAAGAAACGTTCCTAGTGTAAATCTCACCTAGAGTTACTTCCTCGTACTTCACCCAACATTCTGTCAGGTGGTCGTGCACTGTTAGTGTCAGTACATGATCCATCAGAGTAAGCAACGAAATAGGTGCAATAATCAGCCAGTGAGGACTGCCCACCTGCAATGGTCATAAGATAACATAATTCACATCAAGTCTCAAACCAACTATTAAGGTTTATAGATATTTTAATACCCAAAACAATGGGATGCAGATTAACAACTTCAAATATAATGCAATAGATTACAAATGCAAAAACACCACACCTTTGTTAGCCTGTGGGAAATAGCGTGCCCACTGGGGTAGGTCTCCACTGTAACTTACGATTGGACAGTAACCCTCTGCTTCTCTGTTGTATGTACATCCTGACAATTGTGTTGTGTTGCAATGATATGCCCCCTTCCAGAGATTGCAAGGGGAGGTAACAAACTCAGTTCCTTGGTTGCGGCCCCAATCAAGATGGTCCACCATACTATAATTAGCCTGGTACCATCCACTATCTTCTAATAACGCCAGTGTCATTTTTGAAACAACGGATCTTGTGTCCACTGAACCCGTCATAATTTCATTCATTAGAAGTCTTTTTTCCCAGTGTGACCCTGAAAGTAATTAGATGTACAATCATTATTACACTTCTAAATACTATGACAACTCTGTTGGTATCACTGGGGAAAAAACACATCTGGTACAGTTCTTACTATATATCAACTGTTATTTTTTGTTTTGGCATTTTACACTACCTTGAATATTGTTCCTCATGTTATATAATAAGTCTTCCATAAAATCGTGCCAAGCACAGCATAGCATAGGATTGTATGCATTTATGCACGATTACACACAGAAACATTTAAAGTAAAAAACCTGATGTGCCGCGTCCTCCCCCATCTTCAAGCTCTAAACCAGTGAAATTCTCAGAGAATGCCTGCCAGAAGATTAGTCTTGGACCATTATTTTCTATGAAATTCTTCAACCATTTTTTTTGGTGCTCTGGTTTTAGAATATTAAAAATTAAAGCAACACTATGTCTCAAAATAGTTTTCAAGCAGCACACAATTCCATGCATAACAAAGAGAGTTGAATTTACCGCATAATGATATCGTGAATGCATGACAACACGTGGAAGCACCACACGGGTCACCATACGCCCAAGCTTTTCATCCATGATTTGTTCTGTAACCTGAAAATTGATAACAAGTAACATTTTGGTGCCAATGAACTTTCCATACCCAAACAACAATGAAGCAGCAGAGAGTTTGGACATAGATTTCTCGTTGTTGTGAAGGAGCATTTTGAAGCATTAGTAGTAGCCTTTACCTGACTACGCCTTCTTTTCCTCTCATCCCTAAAATGAGCAAAGGCATGGGGATCAAAACCGAGAACATGCATAACCTGGAAAAGATCACACATTCTTATCAGTAAGAAATTACATCCCATGTTTTCTTAATTTCATTACAAGACAACTGACCTCATGTATGAGAGTAGCAGAAAGTAGAGTTTCTGCTTCTGCTGTCAAATGGCGAGGAGCAACATTTACATGTCCTACATCCCAAAAAAAGAAAAAGATACAATCAATTCTGATTTCTATTGCAAGCAAGGCACGACTATTCCAATAGGAAACAGTGCTCAATGAATGAATTACCTGCAATTGCACGACCCCATTGATCACGTTCACAAGCCACTGCCCATGCAAGAGTGTTTCCAGTGGTAGGTCTTGTTGTCACAAGAAGAACCAGGTCTGCTTCAGCAACGCCCTCTGGAAAAAGATCAACATTATGGTTACTTGGATACTTGCGTATGCGGACATGTCAAGAATTGCTACTAAAAACCAGAAACAAGTCACACAGTGATATTGGAAAATAACACCCAATTTGCAATAAAAGATACCTTCAACATATTGACGTGGCAGCTGCACACCTCCATCTTGGCCGCATGCTGAATACCCACTCAACCGCAAATTCCCCCTCACAGGTTCAACAGCTAAGGCTCTCTTGAACCAGTCGGCTGTCTGCCCTAGAGCCTGCATTTAAATACCTCCGAAAATAAGTTTCATGCATACTTACCCAGCATGAGTAACATCAATATGCATTACTGACAATAAAGTCATCCATCTACGCACATTGACATAGACGAAGTTTGATTAAGCAAAACCCAGAGACATGAAGCAGTGAACGATATACAAAGGTCACATGATGTACAAAGTGGGAAAAATATGACAGAAGAATAACAAAGTACAATCTAACCTTGCGAAGGCGCTGCCGTTTGTCCTTCCCAGCTATATCATCCAAAGTGCAGTTATACCAGCAGTCACCAGAAATTGGAGGATCACCATGAGGATTGCAAGAAGGAGAACCAAGAACAGAATACGTCACAGGAGGCTCCCCAAGCTGATAGGGAGGGGAATTGCAAGAAAAACGAAGAAATCAATTCCAACATCAGTTATGTATAGTTGTCAACAATGTACACATTCAGAATTTACCAATTTGATGTTAAACCCACCTTAACAATATCACCAACATTTCGACAGTCTCTATCAGGCGAGTGACCAACAGCATCATAATTTAAATATATTCTAATAGGCCGTTTTACATCCTTCTGCTGTACCGAGCACTTGGAAATTCCAAGTAATGCCCTACCTTTTTGGTGAAGGGCTTGTGATATACCAGACCCCTCGTACACCTGGGGGGTAACAGTGTACACTTTGCGACCAGGTCGCCTCCGTTGTTTAAGTATCTGGTCATGGATGCAGGAATGTGAAGCAACACTCTCGGACAACCATTCTGGATCCTGCCCTTGAAGTGTGTTTTCTTGGGATTGTGCATTACTAGTTTCCAACCATATCACTAGCAATATAACCTAAAGCACAACAAAACAAAAGAACCATTAATGTGATGAAAATGTGCAAGCTTAAGACCTTGGTTTTCAACAAACTTACTGTTCACGCACAAGGTGGACAGGATAAAAAATCAACCATTCTAGAGCAGATCTAACAAACTTAGTCTCATAATAATATGGAAAATCAAAAATAAAGTGTCTCAATCCTAATAGCACATCAACGGAGATGGCACAGTTTGGTCCAGCAACCCAAATCTGCTTCAACCTCATGAAAAATAACATTAATACTAACTATTGGCCAAACCCAACCCACAGATCAGCTGAAATTTATTCAAAAAAAAGGAACAAAAATGTTCCCCCCTCAAGCACTAATAAACAGTTTCCAGAAAAGGAAATAAAAAAACTAATTGGAAGCAGAAACAAGCAAGAGGAAATAGCTTAGAAAGTGGAAACATCAAAAGCAATAAATCCATCACGTACTAAAGACAGTTGCTTCCCTTAACCTGAAGCCCAAATCTGCCGTTAGGTTCCCCAGGGAAAAAAAAAAGAAGGAATGAGAAACCAGATAATAAACAACTGATTTAGGGTCAGTGCAGTGCCAAAATCCCAAATTTTTCCATCTCTTCCCGAACATAACAAGAAATTTTTAACTGAAATTTGCAAGAGAAAACAAAACTTAAACCCCAAATTCTTCTAACCAGAAAATAAGTGACAAATGAAAACCTGAGAGAGCTCACCTTGAGGATAGCGACGGCGACTCGTAGCTTAGAACCGAATCTGAGAAAGGTACATGGACGGCACCGTATCATTACCTCCATGAAATGTAGGAAACTCTAATACTAAGGGCATCGATTCCATCAAATCGCCGGCGATTTTCCGATCGGCTTTAAAACCCAGAAAAATCGCTGGCTCTTCTGCATTTCAAATCGCCTCAATAATTTAATCTAGAAAAAATATATTTCTCTTATAGAAGATAAATAAATATGAGAGAGACCCCTTGTGCTTCGATTTGAAAGCACCAAACAGAGAGAGATAAGAGTGTGGGTCTTCGGTATTTGAGAACATAAAATAAAAAAGAATGCTACTTTCGTAGACTGAATCAAACAAGGAGCTTTAAATGTCTCGTACGGCCACTGAAAGCTTTGTTCTTTCAGAAAGGCGAAAGGCGAAACACGGAATCAGTGACAGTGAAGACGATGAAGAAGAAGAAGAAGGGGAAGAATAGGTCCTTCAAAATCATATGGATTGGGTGGGGTGGGTACAGCTGATGATTTTATTAATCTTTTTGGTTTAGGATTTTTTTTTCTTTCTTTAGTTTTTTATTATTCTTATTTATTAATTTGAAAAATCGGAAAGGGAAACCGACCTTCATATTGAGCAGAATTACGATAAGCCCCATTCAACGTTGCTGATCTCTTTTTCTTTCCTTTTTTTAATGTCTCAAAGGGTCTTTTAATTTATGTCTAAAGTATAATCTAAGGAAATTCATCGATTATTCGTTTTCTATAATGTCAGTGGATCAGGTCATTGGCGGTTCACCACCGCAACATGTGGATTAACCAAGTTTTTAATTAGCAAAAACAAAAATTCATATGCTTCAATTTTATTTATTTTATTTTTTATAGGTGATGCATCATTTCTTGTTATTTTGACCGTACACATTACATATCAAATTTAAGAATTTATTATCTGTAAGCGACTGTACGATAAGACTTTTTCTTCTTTGGCCTGTGACTATTCTAACGTTGTATAATCAACAAAAAAAATTTAAAAAAATGTTGTAAATTATTCAAACCCTCCTTCTAGTGTTAGGTTAAAATATTAGGAAGAAAAACATGGCAATTTGTCATGGCTTTCATTAATATTTGGTCATCCTCAACCCTTGCGATATGACCTTTTATGTTGAATTTATTGGTAACCTAATTCGCGTAACCTTCATAGTCACAATCGTTGAATTTAAGGGCCATTGACGTTTTAAAGTTTATGGCCAATGTGTTCTGTTGTAGATATACAACGCCCTATCCGATGATTGTTATCTTTTTTTTCTTTTCTTTTTTAAATGATGATCGGTTCGAACTAATGTATCGAATTTAAGACTTATTTTGATCAAGTAAAGACAAATACCACTACATTTATCTACTAGAGAAATAGTTAGTTGGTATTTTCTTCCCTTATGTTTTTTAAAAAATCATGATTATATTGGCTACTCAAATTTCTTTAAAAAGAAATTGTGATTTATAAGCATAATTATCCGGATATTGTTCAGTAGTGAAAAAGGAAATTACATAATGTAGCTGAGATCCTTAAGGGAGTTTCAAGCAAAACATTCTAACATTTCTCTGCAAAACAGGAAGCATATTACAGTTCCAAGGAAGAAAATAGTAAATGCTCGACAATCACAATAAAATATAGACCCAAAAAAAAATTTAATTATTATTTACTGGCTGAGTAGTTCACCATTATTTCAATTAAAAAAATATATTGCCGTTCAGCCGGATTATATTTAAGTGGTAATTATTTTCTTATTTATTTGATGTTTGATGCCATTAATTGCGCACGTATGAGCTTGGTTTCATAATAATAAGATACTAAAATGGTTTAATATTAATAATGTTCTTAAATTTATTTAAAAATTCCGGTTTATTTTGTTTCTGTTTCTTGGCTTTCAAGTCTGAAAGGATATTGCTTCCGTTTTTAAAATTTGGGGGGTTTTATTTTGGGAGTTTCATTAAAACACCCAAAATGGGGGTTGAAATTATAAAAAAACTCAAGCACTATTTAAACATATAAACACACCCAAAACTCATTTATAAACACACCCAAAAAGTTGACTTTGGGGTTGATTTTGGGTGTGTTTCTATGTTTAAATAGTGCTTGGGTTTTTTTATAAATACATGTCTAGAATTGGGTTTATTTATAAATTTGTATTTTATTTTTTGGTCGAAATACCCAAAAACAAAATTGAACGTACAAAAACAAAAGGAAAAATAATAATTTGTTGGAAAATGTGGAACATATTGGCTTACACTGAAAATAACCAGAAACAAAGTATGAGAGAAGTTTCATGCAAGTTAAGATTAGTTTATCGTTCTACTTTATAACTAAAAACAGGATTAATTAATTAAACCAAAACCACATCTAAAAAAACGTAGGGTTTGATATAGTACTACTACTAGTGTGGGCAAATGTATAAATGAAGTTTGCGAAGTTTATTGGCCACAAATCTCAATTTTATTCATTGATTGATTAGCCAATGGACTTTGGTCAAAACTTTATAGGGCAATGCTAGCAACTTTCTCTTTAACATTCTCTTTTACACATTCTCTCTTTTTAGCTTGACCTATGTCATTCTTCTTACACTTAAAACAATGTCATTGATATATTATACAAGCTAACTTTTGCTTTCCAAGTTTACCATTCTTAATTGTATTCAATTTATCAACAAAAAAAAAAATCACAACTTTCTTACCATATTATTATTATTTTTTAATGACAATTTTTTTTATTTAAGAAAATGTCTGCTTTTTAAAAAAAGAGGAAATGTCCCTTCTTATTTTTTTAACTTCAAGTTTAGATTAAGAAAATGTCTGCTTTTAAAAAAAAGAGGAAATGTCCTTCTTTTTTTTAACGTCAAGTTTAGATTTTTTTTTTTTTTTTTAAAAGGACATATTCTCTTCTTCTTTTTTAACAAAAAATAATTGACGTTAAAAAAATTAATAAGATAGTAAGAAAGTTGTGAAATATGTTCGGATAAATTTAATAAATTTAATAAGGGTAAACTTGGAAAGCAAAAGTTAGTTTGTATAATATATGAATGACATTGTTTTAAGTATAAGGAGAATGACACATGTTGAGCAAAAAATGGACAAGGTTCAAATGAGAAGGTTAGAGAGAAGGTTGCTAGCATTCCTTAACTTGATATAACTGTGACGGTGTGACCCAACGTTATGAATGTCATGCCCTACAATTCTAGGCTTAGCCAACAACAGGTTTCTTGGGCCCCACTCAACTTGAACAATGTTGACTCCCATGACATTTTGCTCTATAAAATGCAGAAATCGTGGATTCTTATCCTCAAACGTCTACACTGAAAATTGGTATGATTACAAGGTTCCCAGCAAATATAATATGTATGGGAAAACAATAGTCGAACCCTCGCTGCTAAGATTACGAGAAATGCTTAAATATTAAGCATGTAAGCACCGTTAAAATTACGAGAAATGTTTAAACATTAACAATGTAAATCAAAATATGAAGTTACAAACCACAAGTTATTGTTTTCTTTGTCATTCTTAACTTGTACATGGTGGCCTAAACATCAAGTTAGCACTTTATTATGATCGAGATATAATATATATACTAATCCTAAGGGTTACTTTGAACATTGGCAATGGAATAGGGCAGGAAAGGCACTTTCTAACCAATAATAGTCATCTATGTTTGCAGAAGTTTGAAACAAGGTATATATTTTTAAGAGTACTGTTTATTTGGAACAATTCTGACTTGAATGGGATGGGTGAAGCAAATACAAATTAAAACCTCAAAAGCAAGGAAGGACCAAAAACCCAGGAATTTATTTGTGCAAGCAAACGCATAAAACTGAGGAGGGTAGTTAGGTTTGGTATTTTGCTGACCTGCATCGATCCTCGGCTAAAGTATTTATTAATTTCTTGATACTTTGACCTTCTTTCCTTCGCGGTTGTTTAATCCGATTAGGTCGTGTTACAGTTTGTTTATAATATTTAAGCAAAAACTAATCCATCATTGTCTCCAAAAGGTGGTTGATTTACAGATATTAGTTAGAATACAGCTCATCAACACATATGGGAAAAAACATATATATTAAATTCAATTTTTTATCGATTATTTTGTGTTGTTTTTGTTGATCAATACTGTTTACCCCAACGGCACGGATAGTTTAACCAATTGGTACAAAATGGTCCCGGTTAGGTCCACTGCCGTAATCTTATTTAGGTCTCACCATTATCTAATTAATGATTTTATTTTCTTTCTCTAGGAATTGATGAAATAAAACCCAACTGAAGAAAACTCAAAAAACCACTACTTGATGCATGACCTACAACAAGAAGTCCAACAGGAAGCCTCTTTGCACAAGTTCGCACAAATTTAGCTAGCTTAAGTCATTTATGTACGTGTGAGAGCACTTTTTTTATAATTAATTCCTAAAAAATTTCGTATTCACGAATGCTAAATGTTTTCAAATTTGCGCATGTAAGTTAGGAGACCTTGTTATACAACTACCACAATTGGGTTTTTATGCGAAGTCGAAAAGAAAGCTTGGATTCACTTTTTTGGTGTTGAGTTAGAAGCTTTGATCAAAAGTGGTGCATCGAATTATAGAACCATCTCTACATGTTTCTTCCTCTTTTGGGTTATATACAAGAAGCAAACAGCAAACGCGCACTAATTATTAACATCCTTCTAAAAAGTGTACCATACTCACTCCCTCGACATTTTCTTAGTGCAGTCAAAGGTTGTCTTCATAAAGCCAAATTGTTATATTATACAATTTGCGTATGAGGGATATGATGATAACGAGCAAATTAATTTAATTACATGTTTGATTGAGCTCCTGAATTTGTAATTAGTTGAAAATCTCATTATTAAAATGATAAAATAATATTATTTGAAGAAGGGAACAAACAAGAAAATAGATTCTATTCACATGCGTTATTATTTTTTAAAATTCAATCAATTGCACACACTTGGGCTTGGCATGTTTGAGTTGAGAGTATCAAAACAAATGCATACCCCAAGAATTTCAATTTTGGCCTGAAATTCTGTAAATATTTTGGATAAAGATATTGAAAAAAGGGCACACAAGTACCCATATGCGTAATTAAGCAGAGGTTTTAAGGATTGTGATGGAATGCTTCCCTCTTGAATTGATAACCTTCTTGTCTATTTGTATGCCAAATGCCTTCTTTATCTCCATGCACGTTATTGTGGCAATGTGGCCTTTGCATTTGTCAAGTACGTGGCATAGTTCTACATCAGTAAAATTTGGCACAAACCCAATAGAAGAAAGTCGCTATCAGTGTACGAGAAATGTTTCTTAGATGGTAACCCTTATTAATTACTTTTGTTGTAAGCTCCTTGCCATTGGTACAATAAGTTAGGGTGTAATACTAATAGCTTGATTAATGGACATAAGATTGGATTAATTGTATAAGTAGCAAGAGATGTCATTGAGAGAGATTACAAACAGAAACAGACATGCACGGAGGGAA